ATAATAATAAGATCTAAAATGACCCTGTAGCAGTTCAATTTCAAACTTAGGCTGAAGGAATCTACATTTTCCCAATCATTTCTAGACTTGAATTGGGCTCCTTTCAATTTATTCTCCAGGGTCTGAAAGACAAACTCATTCAAATACAGTCACGGAAAATATGATCCAGTACCTGTCAGCTGTACTTTTATTCCAACTACAGACTTGGATGCCTGCACATCTGAATTCCTAACAGATCAATGCATGCCACAATGGATGTATTATAATACAATATTGATGTTGACAAAATCTTAAATGTCTGCATTGTTGACATTTGAAGCTGTGGAATTGAATGACTGTTATATAATCTGTTGGCCTATAATTTATGATACTATATTCCATTCAACTAATTGATTAGATTTGCAACAGGTTGTTATAGTCATCTGGGGCTGTATCAAAGCATTCTTCTTTTACCAGTATTTCATGCAAATTAATGGGACTATATTTATCCTTGTGAAATTAAAATAATTTTAAAGTGGAACTCAAAGCAATGTCAAGAAATCTCAAAATACAAACTTTATGACAAAAGTACAAGGTTTGAAAGAAAAGTGATTAATTTTGGTTTGTTCATTATTATACGGGGGCAGTGGGGTAGCCTAGTGGTTAAAGCTTTCAGCTCATCACACCAAAGATCAGGGTTTGATTCCCCACCTGGGCACAATGTGTGAATCCCATTTCTGTATTTCACCACCGTGATATTGCTGGAATATTGTGAATAGAGGCATATAACAATACTCACTCACTCATTATGTAGGAAATTTAAAATCTTGATTAGATTTTTGTTAACATTTTATTTCACCACTGATAGGTTTGTTTCAAGACAGTTTGAAAATAGATAATTTCTTACCTACATGGAATGAATGAAACAAAATTCTGGATTGACAAAATTGTCTAACCAAAGTAAGTTGAGCTGATATGATGTAATGTTGCCATCATGATCATGAGGAACGATGGATGATATCATGATGTATTCAACCATGAAGCAATATGAGATCTTATTGCATAACTGACCAATCACTATTGACAATTGCTAGAATTAGAAAAATTATTATATTTGATCTTTCAAAGAGTATGGATGTAATGTACACTTCTCTACTTTTGATTCGCTGCAGAATTGCTGCAGAATTTCTGATGTGGTGTCAAGCAATATTCACTCAGTCACTAAATGGGGCGGTGGGGTAGCCTAATGGCTAAAGCGTTGGCTCGTTACGCTGTCGACCCGTGTTCGAATCCCCACATGGGCACAATGTGTGAAGTCCATTTCTGGTGTCCCCTGCCGTGATATTGCTGGAATATTGCTAAAAGCGGCGTAAAACCATACTCACTCACTCACTCACTAAAGATTGGATAGTAATATATTTATCTTTTCATTACACAAAAAGTGTTCTCATATTTTTTAGTGCATATTTAAATTCAGAGACATATCTGATATTTGCCTGTCAACTGTTGATTAGTGTACTGAGCTAAACAACCGGGGATTGTGTTTTTTGTCAAGAGGAATGATGTGTCATTTATTGATTGTCTCAGGGCATCGTCAGGGCAGACTCAGTTGTTCAACAACTGCATCATCGCTGTAGGATGCTGCATAATATTACCTCCGACAGGATCAGGACTTGTTAAGTAAGGACTAGTTATGATAACGGTGAGACATGACATCTGTTGCCTTGGGCTGGATTATCATGTAACTAGTTGACAGGGATGAAGTATTTTTAGTAGAGCCCATTAGAAATCTGGTTGCCAGGGAGCTGAATCACGGATATTTGGCAGCTAAGGATTTGTATGGATCTGGTCGTGTAGAGGCTTTTCTTGATTTGTGAGGTAAATTTGAATTTGAATACCAGACTATAGTTAACTAGTTGCTTTTGATGGCCATATTTGTGTGTAACAGACATTGTATTCATCGTGTCAACGTCAACATGACAGGGAGAAATCATTGTGTAGATTGTTCAAGGGTACCCTGTTAAATTCAAGTAAGGAGTTGGGTTGTTAGAATTCTGAGAATTACTTTAGAACTTGTATCTAGTTTATAACATTTTAACTCAGTCGTAAAGTCAAATATGTCGGTCACATTTCAAACTGCATTTCAGTTTCATGGTGTATTTGTTGAGGTGTTAACAGGGATGGAAAATAAACGAGAACAACTTCCTACCTGAGTTGTGAGGACTGTAGCAATTCCTCCCAAGATTCTATTTGCCCTTAGAATACCTTAAACATGACCAAAACTACCATATATGACAGCAGGTAAGCCAGATTTGAGCACCATAAAAGTCTGTAGAAAGGGGGTCGGCTTATCTGAAGGTTTCACTTTCATCAAACTGATGTTTAAGGAGGTAAGGTAGTGTGAGCTGGGGGCTAGTGATAATTTCCTTCCTTTTTACTGGTGTTTTCTAATGGTACAATGCATATATTTGTTATGGCTACGACTTTGAATCATGTGGTGTTGTCAGGTAATTAGAACCAGTAGATGCGGGATGTTGCCTGCTCTACAGTATTCATGGTGACACCAGATGGGAATATGTGTTGTAGACGTGGTATATAAGATATATGACATTGTTTATATAAGTATCCAATGGAGCCTTGTAATGCAAAAAGTGTTCCAGAATTGTTTGTGTTCGATTATGAGAAAACATGATCGATTGCTTGGTCGTTTAGTCACTGTGACCAGTCTTTGATTATTTCAATTAATCGGACCACCACTAGTAATTAGGCCACATAAAAAAATATTCTTGTTTCTCTTCTTTATTTCAAAAAAGTATGGGTTGGGCGGGCAGATTTTATTTTTGACATTTTATTTTATGTCCCAAGCCCCTAGATTTCTGTGGAAATTTAACCTTTTCTCCAATAAAAACTCAGAACTTAGAAGTATGAAATATTCATGCACAATCTGAGAGTCAAAGTTGCATTTTCTGTAGTGTAAAAAATAAAAATAAACTTAGGGTCGGGTGAAATGTTTGGGTCGGGCGGTAATGAGAAACAAGAATATTTTTCTCTATGGCCTTAGATAAGTCAGGCTGATGCAGAGACTGTTTAGTGTGATAAAAAGTGAATGACAATCATTACTGCAATGTCAGCTATATCTTGAAACTGTTGTGAGATTGGAGGGTTGATGTAAAGAAGGATGGATATAAAGATGGAAGGGTTGATGTAAGAAGGATGGCTGTAAAGATGGAAGGGTTGATGTAAGAAGGATGGATGGGTTGATGTAAGAAGGATGGCTGTAAAGATGGAAGGGTTGATGTAAGAAGGATGGATGGGTTGATGTAAGAAGGATGGATGTAAAGATGGAAGGGTTGATGTAAGAAGGATGGATGGGTTGATGTAAGAAGGATGGAAGGGTTGATGTAAGAAGGATGGATGGGTTGATGTAAAGATGAAAGGATGGATATAAAGATGGAAGGGGTTGATGTAAGTCAAAAAGAAAGGATGTAAGAAGGATGGCTGTAAAGATGGAAGGGTTGATGTAAGAAGGATGGATGGGTTGATGTAAGAAGGATGGCTGTAAAGATGGAAGGGTTGATGTAAGAAGGATGGATGTAAAGATGGAAGGGTTGATGTAAGAAGGATGGCTGTAAAGATGGAAGGGTTGATGTAAGAAGGATGGATATAAAAATGGTTGGATGGAAGGGTTGATGTAAGAAGGATGGCTGTAAAGATGGAAGGGTTGATGTAAGAAGGATGGATGGGTTGATGTAAGAAGGATGGCTGTAAAGATGGAAGGGTTGATGTAAGAAGGATGGATGGGTTGATGTAAGAAGGATGGCTGTAAAGATGGAAGGGTTGATGTAAGAAGGATGGATGGGTTGATGTAAGAAGGATGGATGTAAAGATGGAAGGGTTGATGTAAGAAGGATGGCTGTAAAGATGGAAGGGTTGATGTAAGAAGGATGGATGGGTTGATGTAAGAAGGATGGATGTAAAGATGGAAGGGTTGATGTAAGAAGGATGGATGTAAAGATGGAAGGGTTGATGTAAGAAGGATGGATGTAAAAATGGAAGGGTTGATGTGAGAAGGATGGATGGATGGAGGGAGGGGGAATAGATTATGGGCAGATGCAAGAATTGATGAATAGAAGGACATGATTGATGGATGGAAAGATGAAAGCAGTGATGGATGGATTGAAGGATGGATAATGGATAGATGGAATGAAATGGCTTTCAATTACAAAGCGACACATTCCAGCTGTGTTTTTCATATTTACTTCAGACAAATATTACTGTGGAGCTTCTTACTCTTCAATGTCAGTATGTGGCTAGGCTCATCTGCCATTCAGCAACTGACTGTGTGTGCATATGGGCCATTTAGACGCCATTGTGTTGGTACTGACATGCATTCTCATCTTCTTACAAGGATTGTATGCCCAATACCATGACCAGGGCTTGTACAACGCATAACGTGTTTCAACCAGTAGTGAATTTAAATATAATTACACCACATCCTCTATACACAGTCATGCTTTGTCAGGACTGTCTTGCGAGCAGGGATTTTTATGTGTGGTCTTTAAGCGTGCAGATAGTTTTCTGGATCGTAAATTTGTGAAATATCATAAACATCATTTATAAATTAATTGAGATAAGCTATTCTTAAAAGATATGAGCTATTTGGATACTGCAGTTACACAACATGTCTGACAGAAATACAAAAGCCATTTCAGTGGATGTCAGGTTAACATCTCATGCATGACATCATTGTTGCTATGACAACGATGCTGGATACCGGTCAGTCACAAGATTCATATTCAGACATCTTTCCCGCTAATGGGGCAGTAAAAATAGACGGGGAGACCCTCCAGATATATTTTGTCCCATGAATCATGTGACACTCCTCTGCACCTACGATGACCCAGATCTGCTTGGGTGAGCAGAATGAAAGGTTAAACTTGACGGTTGATTCAAATATTTGAAGGAGTATCGTATGAAGGCAGGTAGGTGGCCTCTGAATGCAAGGGATCTACGTTATTGTGTTACGTTGTTGTGTTGTGTTAGTCATGAGGATGGTGATTGTTATCATGGGTATTTTGTGAGATCTATTTCGTACACAGAAGATGAGGACACTCACGAGGGACAGTCATTGATTCAGGAGGATCGGTTTTAACGTTCGTTGTGTTCGACTTATAGACACATTTTGTGTAATTAACTTGTGATTGTGAGTATTGTCTTTGATAAAGATACATAATAACGTAATTACTTGTAGAAGATTAAACCATTTTTATGGATAAGTGTGGGTAAAATATCTGTTATACTTTCAGAGGTAGTGAAGCAAGAATTGACATTCGGATTTGTATTGTTGTATTTATAGATTAACTCTACTTGCTTTACCATGCAGGGGTGGAAATAACCCATTGCCCGACGTCCGATTCCAGTGTTTTTTTCTGTCGGGCAAGCAATTTGTATATCACACTGTACCGGTGTCCAGTTGACTTTCCAATGTTAATTATGTTGTTTATTTAAAAAATCAACAAGAAAACGGACGGTATAGTGGAAAAAATATCAGGGCAAGTGATTTTACATGTGCCACTGTACCGGAGTACACTAGCAATTTTAAAGTTATATCCACCCCTGCCCATTCTCTTCCCACAGAGGTTACTCCTGTCATATCTTCCTACGTAACCTCTGTTCTAATACGGCCCTTTCATGGTGTGAGCGTTCAAGACTCGTGATTGGAGGCAATCAGATTTAGTTGTGCAATCAGCGACGTTGTTTCAAAAGTGATCATTAGCAAGGCCTCGGTAATTTCGGTATGCTTCGAGAAAACTAAACTTCTTCCCCTGCGCAATGCGCAAACGTTTCTTCTAGACAGAACTCAGTCATGTTATGGGGGACCAGTGGCGTCTCCATCGCCCTCGTTGACAACGGACAAGCTAGCCATTAAACGTCTTGTGTGTAACATCAACACAAGTCCCCGGCAGATGGGGGGATATTTGTGGCCCCACATTTGCTTGTGTTACTCAAGTTGAATCTAAGTCGATGTAACACGTGTTCTGATTGGATAGAAAGAAGGGAGATAATTCGTGTTGCGATCTTTTGCCGCTAGAGGATTTTACGAGAACCGGGAAATATGGCCGTATTAGAACAGAGGTTACGTAGGAAGATATGACAGGAGTAACCTCTGTGGGAAGAGAATGACCCCTGCCATGTAAGCTGATAGATTCTACCCACTACAATGGTATATGAGGCAATAAAAAATGGACTAGTTTTGTAGTCAGTGAGTATCATTGTTATTATTTAAAGTTCTTGTAATTTCTGTAGGTGTTATATTACGATTATCACACTGTGGTGATAACCTGTATCTATCGCTTTTCATGATATGATAACACTTTCAGCTTCCTTCATTTTCAATTTGGTTTAAACATTATGTACCAAATAGCAATATTTTCTGGACTAAAACATACACCAGGGGTAAGTGACAAAACTCAACATGTGTGAAGTTGATTTGGCTATGGTATATTTTTTATAATTTAATAGATGTATTGAGATATTTGTTTGGTTTTAAATTGATATCATCTTGTGTGGATTGGATAGATGTAAATATGTGACGAACTTGATACTCCGGTGTGCTGGCATTACATAAGTAACTTGATGTAGCCCATGTGAGTTGGTGTCATGTGACAACATCCTTGACCCTTTTGAAGAGGGTTCGACATGATTGGCTTAAATATACACCACAAGGGTACATGCTTAGACACCAATTAGTTCAAGAAGTATGGCTATCATATTTAAAAAAATATATAAAAATTTAAAATCAAATCAAAATGGAGCACTGAGCAATGCTTCATTTCATAGCTGGAAAGGGACGGTGAGATAGCCTAGCAGTTAAGGTGTCTGGTTGTCAAGCTGAAGACTTGGGTTGATTCCCCACAAGGGTACAATGTGTGAAGCCCATTTCTTGTGTGATATTGTTGGAATATTACTAAAGGCTGCGTCAGACCATTTGCACTTACTCACTCAGACATAACTGAAGCAATCTTTACTTTTTATTATAAATTCTCTAAGGGGTGGAAGACAGCCCAGTACATGTGGACATTATTCTGTTTGTTTTCACTCAATGACAGGGATACTGAAATATGGAAACTCTTCTGGGCCAAATATTTCCAAGAATATGGTGTATTTAGTTTATGATAAATAAATAGGAATATCTCTACTGCAAAAAAAGTTGATTTTTTTTAATGTTCAGATCTTTTAGGCTTTAACTTTGTGTAAAATTGTAATTTTGCATCGATTTAATGTCGCTGAAAGTAATGGAGGCAGCATCTGTTGGGTCAATGGAATAATTTTTCAATATTAACAATAATATCAGTTCCTTGGTGACTTAGCATTAACGTGACTTTTTTGTTCCAGGTGGTTCTTGACGTGGCGGCCATTTTGGATTACTGAGCGTGTGCGTTGTGATTCAGTATTTAGAGACACACAAGCATTTGGCAACATGGCTTTAGAAATGAACTCATTTACCGACGGAATGTTAAGACAGAGAGTGGTGGCACAGATGTAAGTACTTTTATATGTTGTAAGGAGTATAGCACATCACTGATGACCAATCAGAACCCAGTTAACTCTCTCAGTGAAGAAAACGTTTTCACCGATGTGGTCTTTTGACTTCTCATCCTCTAGGCTAAAATTGAGAGCTTAAACATTTGTTAATACTTAAGTTTATAACATTATTGTTTTACTTTAGACATAGGTCTATTTTGGGGAATATACCTTGATTTTATAATTCAGTTCCTACACATAAAGGAATATCAGTAAAGACAGTAAAGAATTACTGTATCACTGGATCAAAGACACCACCTTTAAGTCTCTGTTCGGTTATATAGGACTTGTTTTCAGACATACAGCTTGAGTATTAGTGCTGGGCTGGGGGGCCGTGTTTCCTGAACATGTGCCCCTGATGCCCTTATTGACCCTGAGAGCAGGAGCTGCATACAGTTGGTCACATGACAAAAAATTGAGGTCACATGACACATAGGAAGGTCACATGACATGTTGGGGGGGGAGGGGGGTCACATGACATGCAGGGGACACTGCGTCAGTAGAGCTGTAGAACTTGTCCTGTCGGTATGCTATGTTCCAGACAACTTGTGTTGTGTGACAGAGATTAAGTTACCTGCAGGTGGGGAGTGTAGGTACAGTAAAACTACTGATTAATGTGATCTGATAAGGTAGAGTGAAAGGTAGTCACTGATCCAGTGGCTGGCTGCATTATGGGTGATGTGAACTAGGCTTCATCATATTCAAGGTTATTGCACTTACATTGCGATATGCGTGTATGCATGCTCGTTTGTGTTTTCCTGTGTGCGTTCGTCCCCCTCTGACACTGTACCTGTCTATGGGTTGATCTGCCCTTATGTTATCCCCTTAATGCCCAATGCCAAGTAGACCACCTCTGTGGTGTAGTGGTTAGAGCGTCCGCCCGGAGAGCGGAAGGTCGCGGGTTTGATCCCCGACCGCGTCATATCAAAAGACGTTAAAATATGGTACTTGTTGGTCCCTGGCTGGCGCTTGGCAATAATGGATACAAGGACTGATTGGCTCGGAGTCAGTATAATGTGTCTGGGTGGGGTATTCATGCTTCACTGCGGCATGGTATCTCAGTGGGCTAGCACTATAAAACCAGCTTAAGTCTGGGCTAGTACAAGCAGCCGCACATACACATACATGCGCATGCACGTTGTCATATGAGCGTAATATTCTCAAGAACGATGTTAAACGCAATTTCACCTCACCTCACCAATGCCAAGTAGGTTCACAACACGAGTGGCCCAGTCGTCTAGTATGCTGCAATTGCTGTGCAGAGTTATGCCCCTTTGGTACACAAGGATCATGAAGTTTTAGTCCCACTTTTACCCGGATTTTGTTTCTAGGTTTGTCAATACCATACTTGTGGGTTTCACCAAAGTCGTAAACCTTTGAAAGCTACATCACCTTTCCTCCCAAGTTAAGCTACTTGCTGGGATATAGCTGGAATACTGCTAACAGTGGTGTTAAACCCAACTGACTCACTCACTCACTGACAACTAAAGCTGATACTACAAAGCAGTTTTGGCGTTTTTACACAGACTGCATATATGTGAAGAGCAATTGGGGCGGTTGGGTAGCCTAGTGGATAATGCGTTCGCTTGCCACACCGAAGATCCGGTTTGATTCCCCACATGGGTACAATGTGTGAAGCCCATTTCTGGTGTCCCCTGCCGTGATATTGCTGGAATATTGCTAAAAGCGGCATAACACTTAACTCACTCACTCACTGAAGGGCAATTGTGGCATTTCATTTACTGTGCAGAGTTTACTCCCTTAACCATACCAGGATCTGCTAGTTCTAATCTTTTATATTTACCCTGTCATGATTAATGAGGAGTAGAAGCAGAGGAAAAGTGGTAAATGTCTTAGACAGGCATTACTTCAGGCTTTCATCACGTGTTAGGCTGACTTTCTGTGATGTCACTGGGATACTCTTCAAAGTTGTATTAATCCCAAATCAGTCGTTAAGGAAAAGTTAAATATGTGAGATAAGTCCGGGCTTTGTCTAGACCTGCTCAGAGGCCGATATTCCGCCACAAGTCTCCAGCAAATGTCAGTAACTCCCTCATGTCCCTTGTGTTGGTAAGGTTGTAATTAATGTTTTATGGCTGAGTGACGTCACATGTATGTCCTTGGTTACGGGGCCAATATTTAGGACGAGGTCTTGACACGAGTGTTTAAAGTTTTACATTAAACAACCTCTGAAATTTACCAAAGTAAGGCTTGAAAATCAACTTTATATGCCTGCCAAGGGATTCTTTGGAATCTTTCCAAGAATATGCATATGAATGTTTGCACTTTTATGAGCTAGAATTTGTCCTTGTTAACCAAGGGCAATTTCAAGTTGGACAATAAAGCCTTGAGTTTTTGTATATTTTCAATCTATTTTTACAGCTGAGTCTTTGTCTGGTATTATGTGAAGTGGGAAGCTTTTTTCATGATTTATTGACATATAAAAAGAGTTAGTTGGCTAGAAGTTGGAGTGTAAAATATTTACTTAGTTTTGAATTGTCTTTTTGTCAAATGTCCTTCAAGTCATTGAGCTCAACCAGGAAACTTGATCACACAGTTTGTTGGTTTGAAATAGGATCTATGAGGTGCCTCAGAGAGGTAGTCAATTGTAGTTTGATAACAGTCTCTTTAACTTCTCCTTGAAACTCAGCAAATCCTGGGGTGCTATTGTGTTATGTATAGGTCGGGTGTGGAGAGAGTGTTTACGTGTCCTCTATGTCTAGGGAAGGAGTGGGGGTGACCCTATGTGTAGGTAGGTGGTGGGTGGGTGGGGTGGGTGTGGAGATTGTCAAGGTCTCCTCTATGTCTATGGAGGGAACAGGGTTGATATGGTGGAGGTATATGCATAAGTGGAATCTAGAAAGGTAGTCAGGTTCTGCTCTGTGGTTCTGATGGGGATTGAAAAAGGGTGAAAGGTGGGGACTCGACACTGAATGAGTGGCTGATGATGGTGGTGGGGCTTGACATTAGATGAGGGTGAGGGGCTGACGATGGTGGTGGGACCCGACAATAGGTGAGGGTGAGGGACTGACAATGGTGGTAGGGCTGGACAATAGATGAGGGTGAGGGGCTGATGATGGTTGGTAAGGCTGGACAATAGATGAGGGTGAGGGGCTGATGATGGTGGTAGGGCTTGACATTAGATGAGGGTGAGGGGTTGACGATGGTGGTGGGGCTTGACATTAGATGAGGGTGAGGGGCTGACGATGGTGGTGGGGCTTGACATTAGATGAGGGGTGAGGGGGCTGACGATGGTGGTGGGGCTTGACATTAGATGAGGGTGAGGGGCTGACAGTGGTGGTGGGGCTTGACATTAGATGAGGGTGAGGGGTTGACAATGGTGGTGCGGCTTGACATTAGATGAGGGTGAGGGGCTGACAATGGTGGTAGGGCTTGACATTAGATGAGGGTGAGGGGCTGACGATGGTGGTAGGGCTGGACATTAGATGAGGGTGAGGGCTGACGATGGTGGTAGGGCTGGACATTAGATGAGGGTGAGGGGCTGACGATGGTGGTAGGGCTTGACATTAGATGAGGGTGAGGGGCTGACAATAGTGGTGGGGCTTGACCCTGAATGAGGGGCTGACGATGGTGGTGGGACTTAACACCGGAGGGGCTGACAGTGGTGGTGGGGCTGGACATTAGATGAGGGTGAGGGGCTGGCATGATGGTGGGCTGGTGGGGCTTGACATTAGGGCTTGATGATGAGGTGAGGGGCTGACAATAGTGGTGGGGCTTGACCCTGAATGAGGGGCTGACGATGGTGGTGGGACTTAACACCGGAGGGGCTGACAGTGGTGGTGGGGCTGGACATTAGATGAGGGTGAGGGGCTGACGATGGTGGTAGGGCTGGACATTAGATGAGGGTGAGGGGCTGACGATGGTGGTAGGGCTTGACATTAGATGAGGGTGAGGGGCTGACAATAGTGGTGGGGCTTGACCCTGAATGAGGGGCTGACGATGGTGGTGGGACTTAACACCGGAGGGGCTGACAGTGGCTTGATATTAGATGAGGGTGAGGGGCTGACACTTGGGAAGGGCTTTCAAACTGAAGGATACGTGTGATTTGAAGGTAGAAAGGTAGCAATCACTCCGTCAATGGCTTGTTAGGGATGGTGTCACTGGGGGTGGACTGAGAGTGACTCATCGCCTCCTTTATCTCGTGACATACTTACATACATATACTTTCACACATTCAATACAATGAGCTGGGACGTATTTACTTTCCAATTTACAACCTCGTGACTTAGCAAGAAAGCAATGTGTTTGTTCACAGCGCATAAGCACATTACGTCAGATAAGGGCTGCGTATCAGACAGTAATTTCAAAGGAGGGACCTGTTGGGGCAGTTTAAATATTTCGTTTGAATTTTTTTTATTTCACTAAGCATGTTAAGTCTTTCATAACGTTGTGATATTTACTTGTGATATTTTCCCAGCTGACTCATATATGACTGACCTTGAGGTTTGTATTCAGTAGAGGGGTTAAAACTTGACAATGGAGTGAGTTGGATTTAAATTCGAAAGTGACTTTTGAATTGGCTGCTCATGAAGTGGCCTTGCTTTGGGTATTCATGTAATACCGTTACTCCTAAAATGTATGCTTCTGTTTCAGAAGATCCTGGAACCAGATATTTACTGAAATCAGACTTCAATTTTTTTTTTGAAATGGGATTTTTATGTTGAAAGCCTTGGTTTCTTCATACATTCTGTACCTCTGGTATACATTATGGATCGTTGTTGACATTTATTCATGTTTTTTGCATTTATTCAAAAATGTACGGTAGATTCCTAACCATGTTACACAGCCAGCATATGAATTACATGAATGTTATGTAAGGTTCGATGACCAGTAAATATTCAAAAGTGACTTGTGTTAGGTACGCAATTAAATGAAGGAGACCATTAGATGAATACTGGTGGATTTGTTTACATTTTTCGATATTATGTATGATATGA